TTATACTAGTACGTATGTATGTATCCACTAATATATTTTGAATTATTACTTTGTATGCACAGTATAAGAAATACCTACAACATACAATACCTACATAAAATGTAAAAGCACAAACAATTGTAATGAGGATAACTGTCTGCGGATGGACAAAAATGGTATAAAAGGAGCAGTGCTAACAAGCATTGTTCATTAGCTAGGCATACGTGGCACGCGTCGCAACGTGGGTTACACGGGTAGTGGAAGAGGGATCAACCTCCGAGACTATTATTGTATATTCGAAGTGGGCTTTAACCACTGAGACTGGTGCTAGCTGTAGGGTTTAAACCTACTCTAGTTCTATACTTTAGAGAGTGGATATAGCGAGAGTACAGCAAATAAAGAGGCTATAAACGAGAAGCGAGTGTGTTCTAATTTCTCGAGGAGATAGGGCGTTTACTCCTTACAGGACCCTGGACAACCGAGAGCTACGCCCAGCACTCAGGAAAGTCCGTTACAGACTGTACAATGTTAAGTGGCTACAATAAAAAAATATATATTTCTTTAAAAACGTTGTATTTCTGTGAATTAAACAAAACTTTAAATTTTACATTATATTATGATAGCTATGATATCTACTTATGTACATATGTACCATTGCGAATTAATGGGTAAGGCTTCCTCAAGTGGGCACCAAATTTACCAAGATTAATATTTTTCAATGATATTCAGGCAGCGCCGAGTTTTGTAGTCGAAAAGTACACTGTGTAAAACTTTGTTGCAAAATACCAAATAGTTTTTTGACAGCGTGCGGGGCCGACTCTCGTGGCTGTATCGCGCGCAATACGCGTTGACTTCTTGTGCAAGGAATGCACGTTTCAATCGTTCCACTTTTATTTCTCATGCTCAAATTTCGCATGCCCGCGACCAAACTATATCGAAATGCAAGCATTTTTTTCATAGATAAATGCAGAAATGTTTATTACATAAGTTGTTGCTAAAAATTTTCCTCCACGAGGCGCGGAAATTGCTTAAATGCTCAATTTTTCATAAAAAAATATTGAAAAGCAAAAAAATATATATTTTTTAACGCAAATAATTTCATTGCATGGTTTAATATTTTTTTAAATCTGCACACAAAAATTTTTTTACATTCGGACACCTACTTTCAAAGAAAAATAAAAATTTCTAAAACACTGCAAAAATTTTCAATTGTTGATTAAAATAAAACTATTTGGAATTTTGCAACAAAATTTACACAGTGTACTTATCGACGTTTTCAGGTCGGGGCCCACTTGAGGAAGCCTTACCCTAATACAAGGTGGTGTTATTAGACCAGCAGATTTCTTCTTCTTTCATTCGCCTTACATGTATTTTGTTTTTGCTTTTACTGATTTGACAGCAGACCTATGAAAATCAAAAACAAAATGCATGTAAACTTTGGGGCGAATTGAGATTTTGGCATAACACGCGAAATACAAAATGCATGGCATTGTTGTTTTTGTATTGTTGCTACCACCTTGTATAAATTCACCTTGTTATGTACATTATACATTTATTTATAACAATGAGAGATTTTATATTTCGCTTCAGAACAACAACACAGGCGCAAAATAAGCCTGTTAGCAGCTCGAGCACAAGTGGTGGCAATGAGAGTGCCGGAGCTAAGGATGCCGCGGTAAATACATTTAATACCTACTAAAATTTCACTATTCTGAATTTTGTTATACCTTCAAACATTTGCTTATATGTTAATTTATATAGGACGATTTTTTCGACATCGTTCCCAGAAGATTCGGATTCTACATAGAATGCTAAAAATAAAAGTCGATTACAATTGATTAAGCGGAAGATTGCTGTATTAAATGTCATGGTTATGAGAATTTTCGAAAATTTGTTGTCTTTTGATATAAAAAAAATAAATTTATGGTTCGGAAAATAATTTTGATAATAAATTTTTTAAATATTGTTAAGTTTTATTGTTTCTGTTTTTTTGCAAGTTTTAGTTTGATTTACATATAAAAAAAAGTACCTACAGTCATTTCACCAGTTACGATATTAAAATGTGCATACTTACAATTTGCTTTGTAGCGCCATTTTGCGGTGGTAGCAAGGATACAAAAACAAAAACCACATGTATTTTGTATTATGGGTGTTATGTCAAATCTCAATTCGCCCAATAGTTTACATGTATTTTACTTTTGATGGGTTAATTGTTTAACAAACCCCGTGTAAATCCAAGTTTCAAACTTTGTGCAGTATTTAAAAAAAAAAATCAACGAACCTTCGTAAAAATTTCGAGCTTTTTTAATTAGATTTCCTACACTGATTCTTAGTATGCAGTTTGCAGCCCATTGAATTCTAGTAGAATAAAGAATAAGTTTCAAATGGATAAAAAATACAATTTCTTCCATATAAAAATAACCTTTGTATATTCGTTATATAGAAGCAAATGGGACAAAAAAAACCATAAAAAATCAACACAAATGTTTAGTTATTTGAGACTTGTACCTTATTCTACTAGAATTCAATCAGAATCGTTCTAGCAAATCTAATTAAAAACGCTCGACATTTTTACGAAAGTCATTTGATTTTTATTTTTAATATTCTACACGGGATCCGTTAAAGAATGAGCTATATTTTTATTAAAAAAACATAACCAAATTTAAATAACAAAAAAATAACATGTTAAAACTTGTCAAATTGTGATGCGGCTATAATTTGTTCGACCACTATATGTATTAATAAGGATTAATCAATCAACTACATACATTAAAATGTTTAAACAAAATTTGATTCCGAGAGATTTTATACATATATTTTTTTCTTTTACAACCCCAAGTGTGAAGTGAGGTGACATAAATTTGCATGTGATATTTTTTGGTTAATATTGCTTTAAATGAATTTTTAACGCAAATAAAACATGAGTTTTATGTCGAATATTTATACTTTATATTTTGACTTCAGTGCCAACTCAGGGTAGATTTTTTGGAAATCTATGACTAATTATGTTTCAGCTACATACGCCAAATTCGAACCAAATTGGGCCATAAATACGGGTTTTCAAAAATCTCGACCCTAGAGCCACCTAGCAAAACCATTTTTCACAGAAATGATTACCGCAATTTATTAACCAACTTATGTTGCTATCTTTAGTTATCAAAAATTCCTTTTATCACAACTGATTGCAGTAAAATTCAAAAATATATTCGCAATCTACTCGCTCAAAATATATTTTTTTAGAAAATTTATGTATATATATGTTTTATATATTTAAGTTGTTAATAAAGGGGAAAAAATATTAATTTGCATATTAACTTTGTATTAAATAAAAATAGCTTCCTTTAAAATTTCGCAGGCTCGAAATTGACTTTCGAGCTATGGTCTAATGAACTTTTTTCATAGAATTTTATGTAGAATCCGAATCTGCTAGGAACTATGTAGAAAAAAATTTACCCGCCTTATTTTACCTCGGATGAGTATCTCATAAATAGTAATACATTTAAACCTGTTTTATTTCAGAATAAGAGCATTTCAATGACCGATATGTATATCGACAACTCGGAGCCCAGCGAGAATGTTGGCCAAATACATTTTTCCCTGGAGTACGACTTCCAAAATACAACATTGGTATTGAAAGTTTTGCAAGGTAAAGAACTGCCAGCTAAAGACTTGAGTGGCACATCTGATCCATATGTTCGCGTTACATTGTTGCCTGATAAGAAGCATCGTTTAGAGACCAAAATAAAGCGGCGCACTTTAAATCCTCGTTGGAATGAAACATTCTATTTTGAAGGCTTTCCCATACAAAAACTACAGTCTAGGGTAAGAACTGCTTGACTTCTTATGAAGGAGCTCCTACTTACATACATAGATGATAATATATTTAATACTCAAAACATTAAGCTTAAAATTATTTCCATAAAATTTCCTTATTTTAATAGTGTGGCTATAATAAAGAGATACAAGTAAGATAATTGCGATTCCATCGCTTTACGAACACTTACAGACAGAGTTGAGAATCCAATATCACCTAAGAGAGGACAAAAATTTGATTTTATTTTAATTTGTCTTCATCCAGAATACACTGAAATTTCAACATTATTTCAGAAAAATTAATAAAATCGTATGTTATTATCCTATTGCTATCGATTGTAATGTCAAATATCAGAAGTGTCCCTGATAACTCGAGCGGACTGTTCCTATTAAATATGTATAGATGTGCCAACTAGTGCTACCGCTGAAAATTTTTCGAAAGTCGCAAAAAAGTGTCACAGCCGAAAAAAGTGTCTTCAAGTAATTCAAATCTTTTATAACATGTACTTGTATATGGGCTTTCATTATTTTACCTTTCGAGACTTATTGGGCATATTCATAGTCGAAATAAAATCGAGTCTAAGGTTAGTTATACATTTTTGACATAATATTCAATCTGTAAAAAAGCTACACCAAACATCAGAGTCGACTTTATTTCATCTATGAGTACTATCCCATTATTTTTATTAAATTGCTAATGGAGATTATCATTTTCTATAAGAAATATTTTTGTATCTTAAAATAAAAACCTATTGATAAGGGATATATTATAAAGCCGAAATATGCATATTTGGTATTTATTATGAAAACAAAGTTGAAGTTAAAAAAAGTACTTACTTAAGTATGTATAACACTTCAGTTACAAAAAAGCAACATTAGTAGATAACAATTATTATAACGAAGTTTAGACTTTTAAGTTTGTACCTTCTTCTATATATTTTTCTAAAACAAGGCGCTTATTCTTAGCGATCTACAAATCGTACAGAAACAAAATATACATCAAATTAAAGTGCTCGATCAGAAACTTTGCACAAACTTTTCAGATTTAATATTCACTGAATCACTTACGCAATATCTGCCTGGAAAGATTTTAAACTTTTTACACGCAATTTTTACAAAGCATTGCTGGGTTCATTTCGATTGGCGGCGTCTCAGCGGTACATAAGAGAATGAAAAATGTTTCCTTGGGTTGGAGCCAGTGTTGCCACAACATTTTTTTATTTTTTACCAAAATCACCGGAAAAAGTTACCAAATTCAACAAAAAATTACCAAACTTATTTTATGTGCAGAACTGTACAAACATGCATATCGAGCCCTAACCGCCAAAATAATGTAAGCGACATTTTTTAAAAATCTTCTTTGTGGTGCAGAAATATTCCTTGAGCATCTAGATGCCTTTTTGCATCAAAAATAAAGTTTTGAAAAAAATGTCGCTTACGTTATTTTGGCAGTTAGGGCTCGATGTCCATACATATATATATATCCGAAGGTACCAAGCTTTTCTGGCAATCCGCGCTCCATTAACCTAAAATGTTTACAAAAGTTTGTTGAATTTTTTTAAATATTGAACAAAGTTTGAAATTTGAATTTGTTTGAGTTCTGTTAAAGAAAGAACAATATTTTTATAAAAATTAACCAAAATTAAATTACAAAAAAAATAATATTTTAAATCTTGTCAAAATATGGTGCGGCAATAATTTTTTCGACCACTGTATGTAAACAAGTGACAAGAAAATATATCAAAAATTCAACGCTTGAAGAAAAGCTTTCGACTCACATATATACGGTCGCCGGGTACACCGTAAAATTTATGGCAATTGAAAAGTTGACGAACTGACAGGGAAAGGTAGGACCACCCAAAACCTTCCAGGAAAGGAAACGGTGGATATACTTAGCAATAGCCACTTTCAAGTAGTTTGTTAAAGAACACACCATTCTAGTAGCCAAGGAACGCTGGAATAACTTTCGCCTTGCGAAACTTTCAGGATTACCTGGTATTTCTATAAAAGGAAACGCTTACTAATGTGGATTCAGAACCAATGCTGACCTATTTGACATGTAAGACCGTATCGAAAAAATTACCAAATTGAAAAATAAATTACCAAATTACCAAACTTGATAAATAAAGAAAAAAATTACCAATTTTGGTTAAAAATTACTAAAGCGGCAACGCTGGTTGGAGCTGCTTCGGCCAATAACATGATTCATTAATACAAGGTTCGATAAACTGACAGTTGTCTCTCTCGCACCGCTCCCTTAGCAGTGGCACCGTGTTGCTTCTTTGCAAATTTACTTGGAAAAAGTGTAGCTTTACTGTGAAATAGAAGTATAAGCATTTGGGCAATATGTTTATTTGTACATATATGCATACGAAGCACATTTAACTGATGATAACATAAATTGTTTTTAAATTGGATGTTTACATAAATCTCATAGTAGTTTCATTTTAATTTTGAGTCCTTTTGCAGTTTTTATACAGCTAAATAGCACATAAATTATGTAAGTCACATAGATATATTAATATTTCGTTCATTATTTGGTTTAAAATGCCAGATTTCCTGCAAATACATTAGAGTTTACAAAAGGAATTTCACTACTAATTGCCTACTTTGCGTACTTTTCTACTACCATTTTCGCAACAGGGGTTTACATTATTGCCCTTTCTCTGTCCTTCATAAATGCAACCTTTTGTAAGTGAGTGTCAAACCGCGACTGTCAATAATTATCTAGCCTTGTATTATTGAATCATGAACCGATAGGAAGAAAAACGAAAGATTGATTTATTTTTTCCCTCCTACGCGCTTCAACGCATTTCGCGTCTCAGGGAATCTGTTTTTATTAAACTAGCAGACCCGGCGAACGTCGTCCTGCCTAATATGAAAATATTTCACTTTTTTCTAAAGGTGCCCACGCTCACCGACGTGAGACACAATTTACTGTTGATAGAGAGAGAGAGAAGCACGCGTAAACGTCGCATGTACACGGTGGTGAGTTTTCATTTACAAGGCGCTCTCATAAGTTTGATCGTGTCAGCTAAAAGCTCAGTTAGTCTAGATTTAATTTCCGTAACTTATCTTAACTTAATTTTTTGGCCAACCTGGTAGACTGTGTTTATACACGGAAACTTTTGTCGACGCGATTTTTCACATTCCCTTTTGGTGTTGCTCGTTTCATTTACACACGGCGATTTGTGTGTATGCAATTGTTGTTGTCAGCTGTGAACATCGGTTCAATTTACACAGACGAACGAGAGCACAAAGCGTGTTCCTCGTCACGCTCTCTCCTACAAACGTCGAGTTGCGGCAACAAAAATCGCCGTGTGTAAATGAGCACTTATATGAGAAACTGTGTTGGCGGTTAGTTAAAACTTAACTTACCGTAAGAAACTTAAGGACCAGTAGATTTTAGGTTCTTAAGTTACGGCCTTACGGAAATTGAGAGGGGTGAGAGAATCAGGCTTGCCAGACTCTGGTTTTTGTATTTCTTAAAAATAAATGAAAGCACACATTTTTGTTTGCATGATTTTTTTGATGTAGCATTTTAGGCGGCGAACTGTTAAACAGTTGAAAGAGAAAATACAAAAACAAAATATTTCCGCTCTTGGCTTAAGTTGACGTGTTGAGTAATCACTGATGATTTCTTACGGTAAGTTAAATTAAGTTAAGTCTAGACTAACTGACTGAACTAGACTGAACTTTAACACGTTAACGTACGTTTGCGTCAGTGACACGATCAAACTTATGAGAGGGCCATGTAAATGAAAACTCACCACCGTGTACTTGCGACGTTTACGCGTGCTTCTCTCTCTCTCTATCAACTGTAAATGGTATATGTTGCTACGTCAAACAGACACGGCATACGTACACGTCGGTGAGTGTGGGCACCTTAAGAGTCTTATTTAACGAATACATATAAACGAGGGAATGAAAAAAGTGGCATTCAGGAAATTTCGGAGGCACAGTATTATAATAGAAAGCCACGCTTATGTTGATAAAATTTTTCGGGCGAAAATAGAAAATAACAATAAAAGTTAAGGTGGTCATTTACAAACAGTTACGCATTTTTTCATTGTTTCTTTGCTTAAACTTTTTTTCAGGTTGATTATCGAATAACCTGAGCGGGAGAAATATTTTTATATGAAGTAGGTAAAATATATCAAAAATATACGGTTCGCAAAAGAAAACACAGCTTTGTTAGTGGCTTATTATTTGGATCGTATAATGCTGTTTTTAATTTTTCGTTTTTACCACCATAAAAAAAATTAAAAAAGGGTGGACAAAAAATAGCACTTCGTTTGAAAATGGCCCACATACATATCAATTGCTTTTCCCCTGCTGAATGAACTGTAAGTGCAACTATGTGCTTCGATTTTGCAGTTCTCAAGCTTAATTCTATATATATAATAAAATTGTAAAGGCCCGATGTCTGTACATTATAGATATTAAAGAAATATTAATATGGGAGGTCTTTATTAGAGCAACGGACGCCAAATCAACAGTTTTTAGAAATTCTGGCTGTCTGTCTGTTGGTATGTTTGCACGCGCATCAGTCAAAAACTAATGCATGAAAATGAATGCACGGGGCTATTCGCAAATGCAGCAAAACAAACATAGATGCGCAAATTGGGCTTTTCCAGCAATTATAGTTTAGAAGTAAAAGACACCGATGCTTTGGTTTACTGCATTTCCGAATAGGGAACACTTCTCACCGCTGCATTGCTAGAGGTCCAATTTAAAATATTGAAAACAGTACTAGGAGGCCATATTTGTAAATTTCAGTTAAAGGAAATTGATACGATAAAGTAAATGTTAAAGTATGGCTGTCAAAAGTAAAAGGTTAAAGAAAGCCTACTGCCATGCCTACACAAAACCGTTGGGCTGAGCGTTTTCTGACGCCTAGCGTTAACGCCGAAGTGCAAAACCTAAAACGGCGTTTCCACGACAACCGTATCACGTGGTTCGCTCTCTTAGTTATGAATGGCGAAGCAACCTGTTTACACGACACATTC